GGGTCTACATTAATGACAGTCTAAATGTGTTCAGAAATAACACTTGATGGTTGTTGGGTCTACAATAATGACAGTCTAAATGTGTTCAGATATAACACTTGATGGTTGTTGGGTCTACATTAATGACAGTCTAAATGTGTTCAGAAATAACACTTGATGGTTGTTGGGTCTACAATAATGACAGTCTAAATGTGTTCAGATATAACACTTGATGGTTGTTGGGTCTACAATAATGACAGTCTAAATGTGTTCAGATATAACACACTTGATGGTTGTTGGGTCTACAATAATGACAGTCTAAATGTGTTCAGAATAACACTTGATGGTTGTTGGGTCTACATTAATGACAGTCTAAATGTGTTCAGAAATAACGCTTGATGGTTTTTAGGGGCACATAGGGAAAAGGAAAGCTATATTTTACATATTTCATGGGTGGCCTGGAAGTGAAATCGGATACGAATCTGGACAAGATACAGAAAAAAAAGATTCAACTCTGACAGGAATTTGTTTTAAATTTTGTTTTCCTTCTGGTTTAGCTTCAGAAACAAAGAACTAACGTTGACAAGAATTGTATTCGAAGTTTTACATATTTGGTCTTGGAACAGAAAAAAAATCGAAAGTTGACAGAAATCTTTAAATTTCTATATATATTTCGGTTTGGCTACAGAAAAACAAAGAAGCGATTTTTTTCTAATTTCTACTTATTTTGGTTTGGCTACAGAAAAAACACAACTAAAACAGACATGAAATCTTTATAATTCCTACTTGTTGGTTTAACCGAGGACAAAGTTAAACTGTAATATTTGCTTAAGTGTCCGTACACGTGGACTCATGTCATGTCATGTCATGTCACCATGTCCTCCCTGTCTGATAGCATCCGTCGTGTGGGAATGAACACCCGCAAGATAGCTTGCTAATCACACTGAATCACAGAACGTGAGGTACATTTTTTCCAGATGGTTCAACGTGAATGTCAGCGCATACGTAACCATCTTCCAGAGGTAAGAGCCTCCGCAAACCTCAATCAAAGTAATTTGTCTCATATTGGCTTGACATGATACACCCTATTCGCTGTCTAAGAAATCCAAATACTTGTTATGAATTATTATATTTTTTTGATTAATAAATAAACGCGACACTGGTTATTAGCGTGTTGGTTTGGATTTTGTTGTTCTGGGAGCCGATCCACAAAGCATTCGTAACACTACGTCATTTGTGGGCTTCTGATAAACTATATAGTTACGATAGTTCGTAACATTACGAACGCTTTGTGGAATCGGGACCCGGTTCTAAAACGTCTGAGACCACTTGTAAAATTATGCGTTTTTCAGTTATATTTGTGAAAGATTTACTGTTGTTGTCGTTTTGTAATCACATGAAGAATATAATCATCATTCCGGTCATCTTGAATGCCCGCACTATCCGTAACCTTTTAACCTTATATGAACCAGGGTTTCCATAAACTGACCGTTATAGCCATTTTGTGCACGGGTTAGCTTTCCGTCATAAGCAGTATTTTGGTAAAAAGAAATACTGAAAATTTATTGAATTCCGATTCTTTGTGTGTTTTCTTCTTATAACCATATAAATTAGAACAGTCAAAGTAAGTTATTCCTTTTTTACTGTCATATACTGCTAATTATATAACTGTTTCATATTCCCAAATGCATGTGTAAGGTATTCTTTATAACCACATGACGTATAAGTAAAACTATAGATATCCTTCTAGTAATACTCTTTACGAAATTAAAACTGTTCGCTAACATTTATAGCCATATGATATACAGTTGTAACCATAGCATATACATTTATATCCACATGTTATATACATATCCATATCCTGTACATATATATCCATCTGATATACATCTATAACCATATCATCACATGACGCTGAACATCGTTGTTCAAATAAAACATACAGTACGTTAAACTACAGAAATGACGAACACGGACCACAATATATAGTTCGTGTTAACCGTAGTTCGTATATTCATTTAGAATGAACTTTACAGCAAGAGGCTGGAAACAAAACCAGTTCGTTATATCCATCAGTTCGTTATAAGGGTGTTCATTAGTTTACTGTATAAGGACACTTGCATATACCAGAAAATATATACACAAAGATATACACGAAATATTCTAAAATACTGAAGTTTCATTAATCTAATATACATATTTCGTCGATTTGGACAGACACACCAGCACAAATATCATAATTTAATTCTGTTATTTTCATGACAACCAGAGAATACAAGCATGCAGTGATTTGGCAAATGTAAGTAGACAAGCAACAAACGTTCGAATATATAAATATCGATACACATTTATGATTGCATTTTAATGGCATGATTATAAGAATTGGAGTCCAGCAACCCATGCTTGTCATAAGGAGCATGTAACTAACTGACACAGATGGTACATGTAACAGAATAACAGAATAATACTTAACTGTCTTTTTCGGGGATTTGTGTTATATCAACAGAGCTACTGACACTTCAGGGAACTACAAATACATAACATACTTACATAGGTTCATGAATATAAGTATCTTCACATTTGTTTTACTGACTGACTGACTGAGTTTGGTTTTACCCCGCTTTTAGCAATATTCCAGCAACATCACAGCGGGGGACGCCAGAAATGGGCTTCACACATTGTACCCATGTTGGGATTCGAACCCGGGTCTTCGGCGTGACGAGCCAACGCTTTAACCATTAGGCTACCCCACCGCCCCTCACATTTGTTTAAAGAGATATGATACTAGGAACAAAGGATGTACGGGCTCTCTTTGTTGTCACAATTGGAACTTTCTAGCGGCTGCCTGAAGGAAGGAGGTTGTATTCCGAATGTAAGCAGTGAGTTGGGTCAGATATAAGTTTGACAGCTTGATTAACGATTTGCCGCTTATATATTGATGATAAACATTCAGATTTGACTCCAACTATTTTACTTGCAGTGTTAATTTTTTTGTCTATTTTAGATTTGAGATGAACTCAGATAATCGTATCCTAATTGCGTAGCTCAATGCAAAGAATTGTTTAATCCAGCCACCATTATTTACTGACCGCGGTCACATAGCTGGAATATTGATTGAGTCGTCAAACACAAACAAATAAACAAAAGCAATATTTGCAAAAACAATATTTTCCATTTCCATTTTGAAGAAAACGACTTTGTAAAATAAATTGATTTTGGTAATAACTGTTAAGCACTTCCTGTTTACATACAAAACGTGTCAAACAATGACAGTCACTCCAACTGACGTAAAAGTACAAGCGCACTATTTCTGGTGTCAACGATGACAAGATTCTTATGATTTTACGATCGCTTCAGTCAGTTAACGCGTAGGAAAATTGAGTGAGTATGGTTTTACGCCGCTTTTAGCACTATTCCAACAATATTACGGCGGAGAACACCGGAAATGTGCTTCACAGTCAGACTCCAAACCCGGGCCTTCGACGTAACGAGCGAACACTCTACAACAACATGCGATACCTACAGCAGTGTATGGAGTGCATATAAACTGGTCTCTTAACTCTGCTCCGCATTACGTCTTACGTTCGATGCCAATATCACTCATCTGATTTAAGCCGGAGCCTGTTTTCACACAGCAATCGCAGTGTTAATGGTCCATATACGATGTTCGCGGCATAATATAAACTTCACTCCGTAAGGGCTTGTTGAAATTTAAAATTTAAAACTACTAAATCATCATACGGTAAAGAAGAGCTCAACCATCGTGATTCTGCACCAAATAAGCACTGAAAGAAGACAGACCAGGACAAAGTGCATAGAGACTATGATCTCAGTGGATAGTGAGCAGATAACAGTGGATAGTGCGTAAAATAACAGTGGGTATTATGTTAACGAGGAGTGAATACTTTGACTGAATGAAATCTGTACCCTGTGGGTGGTAGCGTTTGGATAAAAATGCCTGTCCACATGAAATGTTTTAATGAAACATATAACAGAACGGGCTACTGCGATTCAAGTACACAGAAAATTAAATACCATCCAAACTCTGCGTTTTTCAAATATAAGCGACAGAGCACATTCTATACATAGAAATCTCCGCTAAAAGCAGCATTAAATCTATTGTACGGTTCTGATTGTATAAGCATGCGTTTATAAATCATTCTCAAATAGGTGTTCGCGAAAAGGTCACAAACACTAGCAAAGGAAAATCAATTGTTCATCTGCATACGTCCAAGCATAGGCGGATCCAAGGGGTAGGTGGGGTGGGGGGTGCGCAACCCCACCCCCTGCTGAAGTTTAGTAAATGACCACTGAAATTCTCGTGAAAACGGGTACAAATGAAATGTGCACTCCCCCTATCCCCCTTCTAAAAAGACTGCATCCGACCCTGCCGATATACGTCCAAACATATGTTCCGCACTGCAGTGTCAGACATACGTATCTGTATGTACGTATTCAGAGCCAAAATAGTACGTAAATGTTTAATAAATAACAAGTAATTGGACTGCATTATGAATAGTCAGAAGTGTAGTCATAGCAACGAAGAGGATACACCTACACAAAAGGTTAAGATTCTATAGGATTCAATTCAAGCTTCTGTGCCTCACTTTCCGCTGTCTGTCTGGATCTGCCCCTTCGTATCTGGCCCAGTCCCTCACACAGCACCGCCCATGTCGCTCTCTCCCGTTCACAGGATAAACGTTTACTCGTTATCCCCACTGTTAGGACTTCTACGTATGGTGAAAGGTCCTTTTCGTATGCAGCCTCTACAGCCTGGAATCAACTACCCCAATATCTACGTGACTGTACAGAACTTTCTAATTTTAAATCTTTACTAAAGACGCACTTTTTCAGATTAGCTTATGAGTGTAAACTATAATTCATTGCATTGTTTCCATGTATCTCTCTAATCTTTTATTCTCTGCTATAGTCTGTCTGTATGTACTTCTATGTCTTGCGCTTTGAGCATGTTGTACATGGAGAACAGCGCATTACAAGCATGCTATTATTATTATTCGCTGATCATATTATATACATGTATTTCCACTCTGAGACGGCACTTAACATATAGTATCCTTCTTTTTGGAACACTAAGTGACATTCTTGTTTCAAATACAAAAAACCGTTGACAATATCTAATTACATGTTTTGTGACTGTTTGCAACATATATTTTACTACCCTCTCAAACGCTGACTATTGTATGATTTTTAGTCTGGATGATGCGATCGTGATCTTGAACTAAGAAACGTTGCAAATATAGTTCAGTGGTTCAGTGGTTTTCAAGGTGCAGTTTCCATCTTGAAACAGATCTTTCCGCTTTCTGTATGTTGGTAGGTCAGTTAACCACTTGACGTTGTAATTAAGAGTCCTATGTAATTCTATTTCACCCCTCTTGGTAAATCTGGTAATTGTTAATTGCTATACATATCATGATTTGAGATAATTGCATTTTTATATAGCGAATAGACCTCACCAACTTGCGATTGGCCCGAGCCACGTAAATACAAGTCATCAGTGTGAAACACAAGGGAAATAAATGGTATTTGAATCAGTTTGATGGAGCTAAGATGTTGGCTATATTGTTTTAGATGAAGAAAAAGACAATCATAATAACTAACCTGACTGCTCTTTCGTTTTACAATAGCTAGAAAATACATTTCGTATGATTCTAAACATATTAAAACGGCATGGAAGTGACCTATTTCATAGGTAAAACATTCAACACATTATTATATCTCACAGCACGAAAACATGATTTTTATAACTACAAAATATAATTAATGCCGTATAATATTCAATGATCTAATGAATATTAATGACCAATGAATATTTTTTGATACATTGTAAACGTTGTTGGTAGACAGTTTAACGTGACGTAACACGCAGTAATGCTGACACGGAAATGCTGTAGTAATGCTGGAATAATGCTGGAATAATGCTGATACATATCTTGAATCAAGCTTGTGGAATGCTCACATCATCATCAGCTGTCTGTGCAGCAGAGTTATCTTCCCTTGACGCGGATTCTTCCGCTGCACTATTTGCTCTTACGTCGTGTTCTGAGTCATTTTCATCACTAACCGACGCTTCTTCAACTGTCAGAGTAGGTATATCCATGCTTGTAGCGTTACCCAACACTGGCCCTGCATCCTGCGTTTCGCCCGTAGTGTTCATGACGTCACAATCCCCATCCGGGCCTTTTCTGTTCTGACCCTTCTCTGTTAAGAAGAACGCAACACTTGGGTCATTGATGGGATCGGTTTCTGGGGAACTACTTTCCTGACCAACCTCTTCCTTGGAAGGTGTTGTCGGAACTTCAACGCCTTCGTCGACGCTTGGTGACGTGCCTTGCTCACTCATCTGCAGGGGTTCCATTGAAGCTCCATCCGTTACGCTTGGGAGTTCAATATCAAAGTCTTTAGATACCATTCGTTCCTCGTCAGCCATTGCTTCTTCACATTGTGTGTCCTGCTCCTCTGTACGTTCTTTCGTTGGATTTTCAATGATTTCCTCTTTGATTTCCTCTGTCTCCCCTAGGATAGTGACAGTTTTAACACTCGCAGGTTGCGATCTTGTAGGAGGAACTGCTGGTGAGCTGATGATAAGCAGATCATCATTCCAGTGATTTGAATCACCAGATACCGATGGTACATTGACAGATCTGTCGACCAAAATCGGCTTCGGTTTCCGTGGCTTCATCACCGGCTCCTTACGTGGTTCCTCGTCGTCCTTGACCTTCTCTTCTGCCGTGTGATTTGATTTATCCGCTCCGTCCTTGGCCGACATGACATTTGGCGTTGGAGGAGGTTGGTTGATCACTGATGTTTCCTCCACAGGATCACGTGACTTCCGGATCCGCTCCATCGAGATTCCTTGCACGGACGGTAATCGGGAATTCAGCTTTGGCATGCTGTTAGCTCGGTTCAGAGTGACACCCATTCCACGACCTGAAATATATTTCATGTTTCTTCGTCTGATGGAGTTATAGGTACAAACGTCTCGAATATCTATCCACAGTTATTCCATCTATGTAGAAGATTATCTCAATTCCCTCATATTGCTTTTATATCTGTTTTACAGGATAGTGAACTGAAACCTTCGAATTAAATTCACATCTTGGCAGATGAAGGTTTTCTTTTATTTTCTTGATAATTTTCTTGAAGATATTTATGAAGCTGTGATTATTTAGAACAGCTTCTGTATATTCCTAGTGGATAATACTGACCTTTCACGTTTAATCCACTTGGCCAGAATATCAACTCTTCATAAACCCTCCCGTCGCCATGTTTGTTAGCCTCGGTCCCATTGCTGTCGCCCCACGCCTGTTTTGGTTGGCTGGTAGCCGGAGTTGGTCTTCGGCCGTATCCGGGAGCTGTCGTTGGTCGTCGGGGAGTCACAGGTGAGGACACTTCATCGATGTCAGAGCGGGGCGAGTCTGTGAGTGAGGATGGTTTTCAGACGATTTTAACAATATTCCAGAAATATCACGGCGGGGGACACCAGAAATGGACATCACACATGTACAAATATGGGGATCCAAACGATACACACGTCTATGACCTTTTATGACCTTTAATTCAAAGCTCGTATTCATTACATTGATGTGCTTTTCAAAGCAAAGTTAAATGTAGAAGAATGAGGGCTATTTTTATGGATATACAACTTCTTTATTGTGTATAGGCGACGTTTCGACATAGATTCTAATGTCATTGTACCACTTGCTAGACAACGACATTAGAATCTACGTCGAAACGTCGCCTACACACAATAAAGAAGTTGTATATCCATAAAAATAGACCTCATTCTTCTACATTTAACTTTGCTTTGAAAAGCACATCAATGTAATGAATACGAGCTTTGAATTAAAGGTCATAGAAGGTCATAGACGTGTGTATCGTTTGGAAACACCAACGATCGTCATGGGAAGCACCCACGTTTCGGGAAGAACATTTTACTTATAATAATGAACCAGATTTTTCAATAATAAATATCCCTACAACAGCCATATTAGGACACTGAGACCAACAAATGTGTCGAAGATTCCATTCCTCATGCAACAAGAAATGTGTCGATCACTATACTCCTCAGGCAACCGCACAAAGCACAAGCCTCCCAACTTTACACTTGTTCCTACATACATGTACGCTATACTGAGTAGCATAGTGGCACTGTGTGGTCCTAATATGTCGAATACCAACCTGGAGGTGCACAAGGAGTTTCGAATACATCTTTCAGCTTGTGAGTCCCGGTGACAAAACACGCTGTAGGATTGGTCCTGGGCATGTAGACTCCATACCTCGTCAAGCTCTTAGAATCCAGGCAGTGCGCCCTGTAATTAGAGGTGAGGTGAAATTGGGTTTTACGTCGTGCTTGAGAATATTTCGCTCATATGACGACGTGCATGCGTATGTGTATGTGCGGCTGCTTGTACTAGCCCAGACTGAAGCTGGTTTTATAGTGCTAGCCCACTGAGATACCATGCCGCAGTTAAGCATGAATACCCCACTCAGACACATTATACTGACTCCGAGCCGACCAGTCCTTGTTGTACCCATTAATGCCGAGCGCCAGGCGGGGACCAACAAGTACCATATTTTAACGTCTTTTGGTATGACGTGGTCGGGGATCGAACCCGCGACCTTCCGCACTCCGGGCGGACGCTCTAACCACTACATCACGGAGGCGGTTCCCTGTAATTAGAAAGGCGCCTGATGTATCATTGTAATTCAGGTATAGTTGGCTGCTTGGGTTGTTGTTTAACGCCGCACCCAGCAATATTCCAGCTATATGGCGGCGATCTGTAAATAATTGAGTCTGGACCAGACAATCCAGTGATCAACAGCATGAACATCGATTTACGCATTTGAGAACCGATGACATGTGTCAACCAACTCAGATAGTACGACCATCCGATCTCGTTAGTCGCCTCTTACGACAAGCATGTGTTACTGAAGATCAATTCTAACCGGATCTTCACGGCTTCCTCTGTACGCGCCGGAGCTAAAACTATGCGGTTAAAGTCATGTGTCCTTTTTTCGAGCTGGTTATGGTGCAATACATAGGAAGTAAGACGTATACACTTTAATAACAGTGTGGGTGCCGAAGACTGTAAACACAAAGAGAATTTGCGGTCACGTAACACGAGTTAGTTTGGATTACCTCCCTTGGATTAAGCTGCGGATGCACGAACGGTGGTATTGTGTTGCTATGTCCACTCTGATCAATGCTATGAATCTCTGCTTGCGTGTGATGAATATTTTTTGTCATTATCTTATTAACCCTTGCGTTTTGTGCTCACAGACCAGGAAACATTAAAAACAGGGTCAATCTAGCATTCATACGCACACCTGAAAGAAAAATCTGCACAACGAATTGGCGGCGCCGAGGACGACTAGACCACCCTGTCGCCATCTCGTAGTGTATGCGTGTGTGATGATGATCTTAGCGACTGTCGTTGTTGATGTGCAGTGAGAACAGCACCAACAAGCAAGCAAACTACCAGTATCATTTACAAACAAAACTCCTGGAGTTACAGCAAATCCAGTTGACCCCTCTCACCTGTTGTAGCGTGCTCCGGTTATGAAGGAATGGAAAGACTCGCCGTTGGTTGCGTGGAGTTCTTGAAGAAACCTGCAGCAACAGACGATGAGTGAGTGAGTTTAGTTTTACGCCGCACTCGGCAATACCCAGCTATATGGCGGCGTTCTGTAAATAATCGAGTCTGGTCCAGGCAATCCAGTGATCAACAGCACGAGCATCAATCTGCGCAATTGGGAACCGATGACATGTGTCAACCAAGTCAGCGAGCCTGACCATCCGATTCCGTTAGTCGCCTCTTACGACAAGATCAATATTCTTCACGGGTAACAGATGATGAATACTATAGGACATTTGATGGTCAGCCATGTAAACACATCCAAACATTTTCATACCATATTTTGAATCGTTTAAACCTTTAACATTTGTCATTTCTCGCACTTCTTAGTACTTTGATAATGAGGACAACAACGTATGACATATTGAACGTTGCATAAAATCTTCCGATTATCTCCATGAAGGACAAACAACCTGATGTTACGTGAATATTGAATGGGGTATTACGATCTGATCAGTAGGGTTTCGTGGTGTTCGGCACATCCAAACATGACTGCTCTCCAACGGTATTTTCCTGGTCACGTTTAAGTATCGTCCTTATGAGCTGATTGACAAATGTAACGACTTGTTTCTGCGCTTACAGTGCGCCATTTAGTGCAACGTATTTTACCGTTACAGTGTAAATTAACGTTCATAGAAGTATATGATCATTGAAAGATGGTAATAATATATATTAATAGTAATAATATAATGTAATATCTACACTTACTCTTTGGGGTTTGTGTATGCAGAACCTATTCGAATCTCACCCTCCCCTGAAACAAAATATAAATAAAATACAATAAATACAAGAATATGTCAATTTTTTTCTATCCAAATTTTGCACAGTCACTTGAAATCTACAGACCAACTCTAATGATTTGTTATATAAGTTTGGACACAGCAATAAAAAAGTTGTTTAACAAACGAGCAATATTTTGCTGGCACTTTTAGCTATGTCTTACGAGGGGGAGCAACTCACATGTGGAACTCGCACACCAGGCTGTTCTACAAGCAACTGCCCCCCCCCCCCCCCCATTCGGAAGAAATAGCGAAATGTCACAACAAAATGACGATCGTTGTTAAACAACTTTTTATTCCTATGTACTTATTAGATTATGTGTTAGTGAGCAATTCATCGGTATCAAATGAAATCAAACTGACTGTAGTCGTCATTTAGAAGTATGGTGTATCACACGGATATATCTCCCTAAAAGCATAACTGAAGGACAACGAGATGATCGTATCATTCCTTCACCGTTTTTCCCAGTCTGAGAAACATACGTAAAAATACTCACGTTTCATAATTTCTCGTCGGATTTCATAGGAATTGACGGGTGCTGAATTTGTTCGTTGTCTCGCACGGAGCAGTCTGAAAAATACAGACACAACCTAACCTTAGATGTAGTTCACTAACGTAGAATGAAGAAGCTTAATTGTGTAGTGTTATAAGTAGTGTTTCATATGGATGTTTGCTTATTCGTTTATTCATTCCAGCTTACATGGGTGGCTCGTAAATTATACTGACTGACTGACTGAGTTTAGTTTTACGCCGCTTTTAGCAATATTCCAGCAATATCACGGCTGGGGACACCAGAAATGGGCTTAACACATTGTGCCCATGTGGAGAATCGAACCCGGGTCTTCGGCGTGACGAGCCAACGCTTTAACCACTAGGCTACCCCACCGCCCCTCGTAAACTACACAGTTTTTCTTGTTGTTTGTGACTTTAGCAATATTCATGCAGTTATTCAAACATTGATCGATATGGGGAATCGAACCAGGGCATTAGGCGTGCGGTTTAACTGTTACACTATCCAACCTCGCAGTTTCGTTAGACACATTTTTGACTGCTTTTGTCATCAGCGTCCTACAGAATCACGTACAATCTTACATGAGTGAGTTAAGTTTTACGCCAGTCTCAGCAATATTCCAGCTATATGGCGGCGGTCTTTAAATAATCGAATCTGGACAAGACAATCCAGTGATCAACAGTATGGGCATCGATCTGCGCCATTGGGAACCTGTGACATGTGTACAATCTTACGCTATCAGCCAAGTCTCAGTGTCTCATTAATGACTGTGAGTATCCTCAAACATTTAACTCAGAAAACATGTTTTGTATGAATGCAGGAGCTAACCTAAAAATGTGGGAACATGGCATTTGGACAAAATGGCGCTTGTTGGCATCCCCATGCAGCAAAGTAACTGATTTTTTTACAATTTTCTTTTGTTATTTCGTTGTTTTAATCCTTTCAAATTCAACTCACGCTGTTCCGATTGTGGTAATTTTTGTTTTGTAATTTCATTATTTGATATCCTTTCAGTTTCAACTCACGTCGTTCTGGTAGGTCGGCCATATTTCAAGTTGACCTCGTTTTGGCTCTGGTCCTTCAGTTCTGTGGCAGTGAGATATTGGTGGGTTCTGTTCGGTCGGTAGTACGTCACGCCGTCCCGTGATAGGGGCGGCTGACACTTGTTGGGGTTCAAGACTGCTGACTTGCTGAGTCGTATATACTGATGCTCCTCCTGAAACAAATATTCCGTTTCTTATAGGCGGTTTAGTGAGTAAGCATGGTTTAACGCCGCTTTTAGCAATATTCCAGCAATATCATGGCACGGGACACCAGAAATGGGCTTCACACATTGTACCCATCTGGGGAATCGAACCCGGGTCTTCGGCGTGACGAGTGAACGCTTTACCCACTAGGCTACCGCATCTCGTTTAGTGAGATTAACATGTACTTCACATCGGTAAAACTTCAAGAAAGAAACAATTAAAATTTTATAATTCAGTATTTATTTGACTATGGTGTATTCATAGAATTCAGTAACGATAGTCAGTATTCATGAGACTTCTGTGACGAGAGTCAGTATTCATAGATCTACGGTGACCGGTTGAGTGAGTGAGTTTAGTTTTACGCCGATTTTAGCAATATTCCAGCAATATCACGACGGGGGACGCCAGAAATGTGCTTCACACAATGTCATTGTACCCATGTGGGGAATTCAACCCAGGACGTCAGCGTTACGAGCGAACGCTTTAACCACTAGGCTACCCCACCGCCCCTTACGGTGACCGGAGCCAGTATACTTTGGACGAAAAGCTTAATAAAAATGCAAATGGTGATGTCAGTGTCATCTTTTGAGGATTCGAAACAATACACAGAAAGATAATAAATTTAACAAATATGTCGAGCTCGTTAATCTAAGCTGACTGACCTGAATCTGAAGTAACCTCCTCCCACCTTCCTTTAGCTATTCACCAATTAAAGATAATATTGACCAACCTTTGAGGGGGACATAAATTTGTGCAAGAAGAGCGGAGACTCCCCGCTGTGAGTAACTTCTTTGCTGGCCTCCACGCTCCATGTCGGTGATCCATGGACCTCAAGAAACTCCTCCTCAAACAGCTGGTCGATCTCCGCACGCAGCTTCCGGTGGTAATCCCGGTTCTTGTCCTGTGATGTGGGCGTGGGTGGATGTTTCGTACATCCTGCAACAGAAGCAGCAGGCGGTCAGTTCAGTTACGTGGAGTTTGATGCGAAATTGATTTGTTATGTAAAATCACTAATACCTTACGTTTTTTCCTAAACAGCAATTTGACATCTTACAACTTCGGTCTAATGAAATACGGTTTTCATCAGTATCAGTTGTTGACAATAGAGGAGAAAAACGGACAAAACGGACCTCAGCGAAAACGGAACCCCCCAAAATCGAGAAAGCGGCCACCGCGTTGGAGAGAACGTCCTCCGAACCCAGAGAAAACGGTCTCTGTGCCTAGAGAAAGACACTAGTAGGAAGTGCCAATGCTATACTTGAAAAACAACTGATAATTCTGACAGGGACTAGATTCATATCAGTAGATTTATTATATCTTGGCCACTTGCTTTAATTTAGTTGGTTACGACGAATTGAAATTAGTGGTAGTTTTGAATTCGTTATTCGTTATAACCGTACGGTGCGTGTATCAATACGTCTACCCCTCGTCTGAAAAACCTTTTCGATAAGAAAATAATTATTAATGGTGTTTGCAGTGTTATTGTTATTGTTATGTTTTACATATTGTTGTTATTAGTATAAATAGTAGAAGTAGTGGTAGTAGTAGAAGTAGTAGTGGTGGTAGTAGTGGTAGTAGTAGTAGTAGAAGTAGCAGCAGTAGTAGACGTAGTGGTAGCAGTAGTAGTAGTAGAAGTAGTAGTAGTAGTAGTAGAAGTAGTAGTAGCAGTAGTAGTAGTAGTAGAAGTAGTGGTAGCAGTAGCAGTAGTAGCAGTAGTAGTAGTAGTGGTAGTAGTAGTAGTAGTAGTAGAAGTAGTAGTGGTAGTAGTAGTAGAAGTAGTAGTAGTAGTAGAAGTAGTGGTAGCAGTAGTAGTGGTAGTAGTAGTGGTAGCAGTAGCAGTAGTAGTGGTAGTAGTAGTAGTGGTAGTAGTGGTAGCGGTAGTAGTAGTAGTGGTGGTAGTAGTAGTAGTGTTTGTTATTATCAACATAACCATTGCCACCATCAACAAATTATGAGATTCTCAGTCTATTACCATATAAAATTGATTTGATTAAGGTTGTAAATGTCTAATATCCACATAATTTCAGCTTTCATTCCATTTTAAATGATACAACTAGGTATTAGTGCAATACTTTTCAAAGCAGTGCTTAAAAACCTCACGAGCAGGTACACCTGTCCTTGCACCAGCACGTCTAACGAGCCCTTTCCCGTTTAAAGTTTAAAGTAAAAGGGTTCTGTATGTGCACCGAACCTTCCTTTGTAGACAAAGGCTCTAGTGCAGAATTACACTGAAGTGTAGATAATATTCTCATCAACTGGCGTAATGCACGAACCATTGCACAGCAGCATATCAGAAACACATTGTCAACAACGTGTTATATCCAATTTGCCCGGATACGTAATATTTCTTCAAAGAATTCCAACTTTTGAATGCACCAGCTGCGTGTTGACAAAACACTCTATGTGCATTAAGGCATTAGCGGGAGATCACAAAAGGTGCATTGACAACAAACGGAACGAAATCTATGCAACGGGCGCTATTCACGAAGCAGGTAACTCGACGACTATTGAAAGACTGTTCAGGAGACCTTAGCAATTCATGTACGTCGTTTAAATAGATCTGAATGGTTTTGGAGATACACGGAATGTAGGGAACACTTACTTAAAGGCCTTGCCCTTTCTGACATAGCCATAGGAAAGCGGTTTTAAATTATGAGAGTTTAACACAGGACTACGACCAGACAATTTGAATACACGATATGGTCGTGTTTGTTGGTAAGTGTCAAGCTAGGTGCTGAGATCTATGTATAAAGGTGAGAGATGATTGACAGTCTCTTTATTACAGACCGAGTGCTTCGCTGTGGCCAAACAATGGGGGTGATGGATGAAAAGTGTTTTGAAAGTTGAAACGATCTCTGCGTCGTGTTTGGAAATTTGTACTTTGACGCGTTGATATTCCTGCTGTGTTGACTGACCTAGTATGGTTTTATACCGCCTTTTGCCAATATCAAAATATCACGGCGAGGGACATCAGGAATGGGCTTCACGTATTGTTACTATGTGGGTCTTCGGCGTGACAAGAGAACGCTTTAACCCCACTAGACTATCCCACCTGTACCATGTCAGCCTGGACTCGTGAGGATCCGGGTTAGAATTGTCTCCAGCAATCCATGCTTGTCGTTAAAGGCGATCGGGTGGTCAGGCTCACTGACTTGGTTGACACATGTCATCGTATCCCAAATACGTAGATCGATGCTCATGCTGTTGATCACTGGATTGTCTGGTCCTGACTTGATTAATTACAGACCACCGTCATATAGCTGGAATATTGCTGAGTGCGGCGTACAACAACAGACAGTCATGACAGTCATGACAGATATCATGCAGTCAGCTATGTCACCGAACCCAACCAGCCGATCCACATTTACTCGACCAGCAAAGATAGCTGGGCAACCTTGTAACTCGATGTGTTGGAAGTGTGTCGACAAGCAAAGATTGCTGGGCAACTTTGTGACTCAAAGGGTAGGTGGTGTGTCGGCCAGCAAAGATTACTGGGCAACTTTATAACTCGAGGGGTTGGTGGTGTGTCGACCAGCAAAGATTGATGCGCAACCTTGTAACTCGAAGGGTTGGTGGTGTGTCGACCAGCAAAGATTGATGTGCAACCTTGTAACTCGAAGGGTTGGTGGTGTGTCGACCAGCAAAGATTGATGTGCAACTTTATAACTCGAAGGGTTGGTGGTGTGTCGACCAGCAAAGATTGATGTGCAACCTTGTAACTCGAAGGGTAGGTGGTGTGGCTTTGTGGTTAAGGTGTTTGCTGATCACGTAAAAGGTTCGAGTCCAAACAAGAAAACAGCGTGTGAAACCTGTCTGTGCTGGATGGACTATTGCAAACTATGCGGCGTTAAATAACATTCATTCGTCACTCTCTGAATCCTCGGAAAATTAGGGCGAATCTATGAGTCACTGAAAACGTCTTTGATAACAGTGCGAATTAGCGATTCTTATATATCATTCTTGTAAATCAGGCTTCATGATTAACCTAGAGGTCAATATTAAGAACAATAGCCGACATCGATGACACGTTACGAATAACGGATATTTCCTGCATTCTCACAGTCTGAACATGGGAACGAAAACTTTACGATAATACCGCTACAACAAATAAAATATTCTCAACCTGATGTTGTGATTATGTGTATGTTTGTATGTGCGTGCGTGCATACGTGTGTGTGTGCTTGCGTGCATTCGTGCATGTATGCCAATGGATTGGTAAAACAATTTATAAAAGTCAGTTCTTTAGAAAAGTATTCAACTAATTGCTGAAGATAGATGAAATGTGCTGAATCAGTGTAACGAAGTGTTGCGATATCTGAACGTCTTCTAACTTTATCAACACTGCCATTCAAAACCCAATGGCTACTGATTATGGGTATATGAATGTGTCTGCGTGCGTGCGTGTGTGCGAGCATGCGTGCGTAGGTGCGTGCGTGCCTGCGTGCGTCTACACAAGTCTTCATCAGTTCCAGTAATAAACACACAGTCAGCACATAAGAAACAGGCCTATATCTTTTAATACGGTGCTAAAATTAGAAATTAAGGAACTTTATTTGATGTTTTTTTTCACGTGAAATGATCATCAACGTACCGGTCAATAGTCAATCAATCAGTCGATCTTTACATTCAAAAGTCACCTATAATGGCTATACTTGATTATGTGTCATTGGAATAATAGTGAGCAGAGAAAGAAATCGAAACGAGAGCAATTACCGAACCTTATTTACGTTTCCATTTGATCAAACCATTGATTTCATGCCCACCATGCATCGTTACCGTGCGTGCGAGGTCGACCATGATGTCGGATGCCGTCCATTGTGGCGTTGTAATCAAACGCCAATAACCAGGGATACGTAATGAAAGTATTTTAGTAAGTGCAAGTCAAACAACTGTTATGTGAGAATTGTGCGCTTCCCGTATTAATATTGGAGGTGTGGGAGGCAAGGTGATGCTTCACGAACTCGCTTCTTCGGCCCCGTTTGTGCCTATCGAAAAACCTATAGTTTGATTAATTATATAGCTCGCTACTGATTTCAAATATTCATATTTTTCTTACCGGTTTTATTAAAGCTATCGCACCATGGACAGAAGCATGGTATTTGTAGGTGATTGTATAATTATATACATAATAATCAGGTTAAAAATCATCTTCAATAGCAAAAGAAATGTCTGCTAAAAGCAGAGTCGATTGAATCATCCTGACAGTATAATAAGCACGTCCTTATGATTATCTATCCAGTAAGAATGACACCTGAAAGCATGGGGAATACAATAGAAAATTGCATTGGTAATCAATTGAAATGACTAATATCTTGATGATGTGTTTGTATAGAACATTGAAGATGAGAAATATATGATATGCAAAGAAAATATGCGTAATAGTTGGCAGTAAACCATTGGACTTCGTGCACATAGCAAGACTGTTTTTTGATTGTTGTACAAACAGTTGTAATGTTTGTAAATATATTTGTATGATAAGGATTCTTGGATAGATAGATAGATATGTAGGTAGGAAGGCAGATATATAGACAGGTTGGTAGATATATATATATATATATGTTGGTAGATAGATAGATAAACAGAAAGATAGATAGACAGGTAGGTAGATAGATAGATATGTTGGTAGATAGAAATATAGTTACATAGATAGGTATGTATGTATGTATATATGTATGTGGGTATTTAGGTAGGTAGGTAGGTAGGTAGGTTGGAAGGTACGAAGGTAGATAGGTAGATAGATAGATACAATAGATAGTGACTGAGTGACTCGTTGCATATATATAATAACGTATGTACCAGGGGAAAACACCCCAAGCGTTTGCTTTCACTGTGACATTATTACTCAAGGCTTTAGAACGAGGGTTGACTGTACTGGAATAAATGATAGTACCTGCATATCAAGACAGAGCCATAATCTCCCAGCTTATATTAGCATT